TCTCTCTCTCTCTCTCTCTCTCTCTTCCATAGTCTTCACGTGCTAGTCTAACATTAAGATTAAAAAGGGATAATTATATATTATTCTCTATATTTACATACGATCAACATCTCGATTTTCGTATTTTAAAAAATAACATTGTGATCGTTACACTTATAAAAATTAAACATTTAATTTTAATTCTCATCACACCATTAATTTCATCGTAAACAAAAAGGTAAAAAAATAATTTTATAGAATTTTCTATTTTCCTCCCCCTACAAATGATAGACCATTAACGATGTTAACAGTGTGTAAGGTCGACGGTACCGATGGCATGTGAGGCCGATAATATGTGAGGGGAAAGGGGAACGAGACTTACACCGATGAGGTGTGCGGAGCGATTTTCGATTCCGTCGATCATGTTGTGCGTGTTGGAGACGAATGAGATAGCGGGAAGCGCCTCCTACACTCCGTCGCACGACTCCCTCTTGGAGTCCGCTCGCATACGGCAGTGGTAAAATTTTACCACTTTGGCACCTGTCTCACGCTTGTTGTCATCAACCTAGACCCCAGCATTGGCAGCGGGGGAGGTAGAGGTGAAGGAGATGGTCGTGCTTCGTCTTTCGGTGCGTGTTTTACCGATGGGGCTAGCGATGGAATCAGCGGGAGGCACGCCAAGTTTGGGCCTTTGCTTGTTGCAATGCGAGACGTGATATGAGAAGAAGATGTAAGGTTGACGTGCGAGGATGGTGTTCCAAAGGGGATTTGGGCGTTGGCCTCACGCGCCACTAGCCTTACGCGCCTTTGACGCCACTGATGGTCTACCATCTATGAAATTATTTTCTATCATTTTCATTCACGTTGAAATTGATGATGTTAGGAAAATTAGAATTAAATGTTTTACTTTCGTAAGTATAGAGATCTTAATTTTCTTTTATTATAAAAATCTAATCCTATATAACTACATAGAGTAATCTATAATTAGATGAATGTGTCACGGATCAAATAAGATCAAAACAAGGTCTCTGTCGGTCAATGATCACTAGGCCAAATCGGATGATTGCACCATCGCCATCATCATAATTATAATCTCAAAGACACCGGTCACGCACCAATCAAAGCGGTCGACCACGACGTCTCCTCATCGTCTCCCTCCCATGTGTTTCCTACCCTTTGACGAGCAATAAAAATGGCATCGCTTCGTCCTCAAGCATTAGATTAATCGTGTGGTGGGCCAAACAATGCATGGCCATTTCTGACAAGTTGAGACACTTATGTGATAGCATTGTTCTCGGAAAAGAAGGGCACTGAACATTCTCAATGGAGGAAAAGACTATGGTCCACAAAGGCCATGATCCTCGCATGGTAGGTGATGCATGTGTGTTTTTTTTGACCTAATCAACACATGTTAATGGATTTGAGAGTCATGTAGAGACAAGTTAGTATATCCAAATCGATTTCTTTCTCTCGTAACAGTCGGAGAACAAGTTAGGGTTTGGCACTTAAAGAATGATGGGGATGATGATAATTTCGGATATGCCATCGCACGAATCACGAGGAGCGGTAGGTTGGGCTTGTCAAATCACGATGACTCTATCTGGGAGGAAAAGAACAAGCGCCCTTTTACTGGTTGGCGACACGTGTCACGCGGCGGAGGGAGGCGCACCCAATCGTATCGTGTCTCACATACCACATGCGGGAATTGGAAGCTCGGATGGCGACTTCAGTTGGTGTGATGCGAGACTCGTCCTCACATCTCACATGACGATGACGATGAAGAATAGGGAATGAGTTGTTGTGACTTGAACTTTGATTTTTCTTTCTTATTATATTTAAATAATATATAAAAATGAAAAAAAAATATTTAATGCATTATGGATCGAAGGGAACTTTCCAAGCTTGAAGCTTATTTAAAAGACCAAAAAGGTTTCTAGTTAGGTT